CATTTTTTCTGGAAGTCTTACAACTGTTTATTGCTCAAAGTGGGAAATTCTAATCATATCTAACATTGCAAACCTTATGACCAAATAAAAATAGTTATTTCATAGCAACTTATTGCAGGGTGGTGTACTAGAGACCACAGACTTTATAGCTAAAACCACTTTGTGTTAATGTAGAGAGGAACAGGATTTCTTCCCTTCATTTCTGTGTGCCTTTCTACAAATCCGTTAACTTCTCAGATTCTCATTTATAAAATGGGCATGAGAATTACCGCTACCTCATGTGACTGTTTCTCTCATATAAGAGAAAAGTGCTTGGGGAATTATTTGGAATCTTATTTAAATATTACTCATGAGGGCCTAATTTTGGAACCTGGGTTAATTTGCTTTTTAAAAAAGGATTCTTTTAAAAAATCCTTTTGAAGTGTGACTCTTCCCATTTCTCTCCTCACCATTACAGAAGGAATGGTTTGTACTTCCCAATCTGCTCCATATCTTTTTAAGATCATCTATCAAGGAGAAATGTGTGAAAGCCTTGTTGCACAAGGACTCCCAGGGTTGCTCCCTAGACCTGTCAGAGCCACTGGCATAAATCAGTCTCAGAGCCAAGTAGAAGGGAGGCTGACTATTCAATCTTTGAAGAGTCTAAACCCACACATTTTTGTCCAAGTCAAAATGATATTCTACATATACAGCAGCTTTGAATTTATAAATTGCATTGGCAATGACTCCCTGGGTATATACCAGGCAAGAATGAAGCTACAGTGTGTGTCCCAGGCACTGGGTGCAGGGACAGATGAGACAAGAATCCTATTACAACTAAGGCAGGAGAGTTTGGAGAGATTCCTGTAGATCTTCATATATTCAACAAATGTTTGTTTGCTGAAGGCACTGGAGCTTAAAGCAGAAGTCTCTCTCTACCTGGAAATGACTTTTTTGTATGTGAGGATGGAAGATATTGGGCTAGGAGTTGGATGGTTGGCTCAACTTTACAACAGATCTGGAGGAAGCCTCAGTGTTAGCCAGGAGACAAGCTTGCTGGAAGGTAATGGAAAAGGAAATCTAAGTAGAGAAAACACATAGAATTATCTAGATAAACATGTCAGTTCCATCTGTGAAAAGTACCCTAAAAAACAAAAGCCAGAAATGTAAGGAAATTTTTGGAAGATAGAAGACAAAAAATGAAGGTATTGAATATGTAGAGAATTCTTATAAATCAATAAGGAAAAATAACCCTCCAGTACAAAAAGGGGCAAATAAGGAAAATTCATTAACAAATACAAATGGGAAAAAAGATTACATGTAGAATATACCACCTTACCATCACCTTACCATCAATCAAATCCAAGAAAAAAAAGTTTAAACTGAAATCATTTTTTACCCTGTCAAATGCCTTTGGACTCTGAAAAAAGAGATCAAAGAGGATACAAGAAAATTGAAAGACATCCCTTGCTCCTGGGTAGAAAGAACCAATATAGTGAAAATGGCCATACTTCCAAAACTACTATATAGATTTAATTCAATGCCAATTAAAATTCCAACAATATACTTCACAGAACTAGAGAAAACAATCCAAAAAATCATTTGGAACCAGAAGAGACCTAGAATAGCAAAAGCAATTCTAGGCAACAGAGACATGGCTGGGGGTATCACAATCCCCAACTTGAAACTATACTACAAAGCTACTATGATAAAAACAGCATGGTACTGGCAAAGAAACAGACCCGAGGATCAGTGGAATAGACTGGAAGATGCAGAAAGAACTTCAGACATACTCAGCCACCTCATCTTTGACAAAGGAGCCAACCACCCTCATTGGAGGAAAGATAGCCTATTTAATAAATGGTGTTGGACAAACTGGATTTCAACCTGCCAAAGATTAAAACTAGATCCATACCTATCACCATGCACTAAACTAAGACTGAAGTGGATTAAAGATCTAAATATTAAAACAAACACTAAACTTGCTGGAAGATAAGTTAGGTAGAACTTTTGAAGATATTGGTATAGGAAAAGACTTTATGAACAAAACCTCAGTAGCATGGGAATTAGCACAAATAATCAACAACTGGGATCTCATCTTATTAAAAAGCTTCTGTACTGCAAAAAAAAAAAAAAAAAACAAAAACAACCACCAACAGAGCTAACAGACAACCTACAATGTGGAAAAAAATTTTTAGCAGCTGTACCTCAGACGAAGGTCTATTATCTAGAATATATAAAGAACTGAAAAAAATCAGACCCCCCAAATTCAAAGACCCAGTTCAAAAATGGGCATCTGAAATGAACAGACATTTCTCAGAACAAGAAGTAAAAACAGCAAATAAATATATGAAAAAATGTTCAACATCACTGGTCATTTGAAGATGCAAATTAAAACAGCACTGAGATTCCACCTCACCCCAGAAAGAATGGCTGCTATCAAGAAATCAATGAATAACAAATGTTGGTGGGGGTGTGAGGAGAAAGGAGCCTTTCTCCATTGCTGGTGGGAGTGCAGGCTGGTGCAAACACTGTGGAAATCAGTATGGAGATACCTCAAAGAACTAGGACTAGAGGTCCCATTTGACCCAGCTATTCCCCTGCTGGGTATCTTCCCAAAATAATTACAAGAATCATATCACAGTGATATACGTGCACCCATATTCATAGTGGTACAGTTTGTAATAGCTAAAGCTTGGAAGCAGCCCAAGTGCCCATCAACTGGAAACTGGGTAAAGAAAATGGGTTTTTTAAAAATAAAATGGAGTACTGCTCAGCCATAATGAAAAACTAGAGTCATTTATAGCTAAATGGATGCATATCGAGGCCATACTCTTAAATGAAATAAATAGGAAACACGTGTAAATACCGAATAGTTTCTCTAATGTGAGAAACTGATAGTGTAAATAAGGGTTAAAATGATTTAAATGAATAATTGATAATTTGAAATAGGAAAAAAGGTCCAAAGACATAGGGGTGAAGCGAGGGGAAGGGGAAAGGAAAGAAGGGAAAGGAAAAATTATGGGAAAAGAAAAAAAATGGAAATGATGTCTATGTAAATAGGGAAGGGTGGAGGGGGTAAAGGGCACACAGGTAATGGGGAAAAAATAAGAATCAAGATACATCATGTATAGGTACAAGTACCCAATGAAAAATGTAAACATATTGTATACCTAAAATGTACCAATAAAAGAACTAAGAAAAAAATGCCTTTGGAATTACTTCCAGTTGTCTCATACTGAAATCTTGCATTGACTGTGGAATGCATCACTCCAAGTCCTCTGCACATGCTTGTTTGGAGTTGGCATCTGCTGGTCATCTCTGGGGTTGGTTAACCCAGCTCCTAAACCAAATGGTCAGGTTGGATCACTATATGCTTCCACAGCCCTTGGTTTGGGGCTATTCCTTTGGCTTAACTGACCCAGCTTGCACCCTAATTTTCATTGCAGAGTTTTCCCCAACCTTGCTTTTAGAAATAGCCAAGATGAGCTGGTTCCATTGAATCTGGCAACTGTCAAGAACTGAATGGATACAAAAAAATATAACAATAAAAGCTTTGATGCAATACTTATGATACTCCCTATTGCTGGCTATATCGAAACCTTAAAGAAATAGAGGGTAATGTACAATAACTTGAGGAAATGTGTTCATAATTTAATGTTAAGAAACAAAACTGGGGAACTAAACCTATCAACTATTAGATCCATTCATCCATTCAGCCAGCCCTTCCATCTTTCTATCCCTTCAAGGTACGTAAAAGACTGGAAGAGTGACACAAATGAATGTATTGTGGTAGAACTTATTTGGATGATAAGAGATTTTTATTAACAAATACTCTAGCATATTTTCTAAATTTCAATAGTAAATTATTGTTACTTTCATTATAAAACAATTACTTTAAAAAGTCCAAAAGGTTAGAATAAAGAATATAAACCAAGATGTGGAAATTCAAAACTTCATCAAGTATTCTAAGAAAATTATGGTCTATAGAACTGACTCAGTTCCACACAAGTTTACTCTGAGTCAAGTTTGTGAAGTGAATGATTTTAAAGTCTTTGCTAGATGCACTCATGGATTATAGGGTTCATATTAGAACTGGTAAAATTTCTGCAAAATTAAAGTCAGTGGCTAGAAATTTCAAGGATAGCAGACTCTGGTTTGCATGATAAGAAAAATCACAGATATTTAAAGCAGTCTTAAAAAAAAACCAATGGGTTGGAGGGAGGGGAGGGGAATGGGAAAAAAAAGAATTAAGATATATTAGGTACAGGCAGAGATTCCCTATGATGAATGTGATCATTATGTATGGGAAATATGTAGTAATAAAAAATAAACTGAAAAAATTGAAAAAAAATCAGATTCACCCAGAAAAAATAAATTTAAATAAATTTTAAATTTAAAAAGCAATGGGTTTCTCAGTGAGTCCTGGGGTTCCCAATTATCCTTTCTAGTACCCTGACAATTCAGTAGATATTTTCTCTTTGGTTTTTCTAAAGATCCTAGCAGGTTCTAAGTCCTATATGGAACCCTTAACCTAGGCTCCTTTAGGTCCTGCTAACTTTCTCAATGCAGGCATGCCAGTCTTGGTTTGGGAGCCTGTATGGGGTCTGAGGAGAGTTGGCTAGAGAAGAGCAGGACAGGAAGTGGATGGGGTGAGGAAGTAGATGGAGGCACTGTTGACCAGAGTGAACTGTTTCACTCTCACTCTGTGGGGCTTGAAGCAGGGTTCCCAGAACAGCTGTGGAGTGGAAGCATTCCCTAATTCTCACAAGCCAGGTGGAGGCCCCAGGGACCTCAGAAGAAAGTGGCCACAATCTATTCAAGAGAATTTTGTGGGTATCAGTTCTGTGCTTGTCCCCCTGCCTTGCCATGCTCTGTGGTCTGCTGGATGATGGTCAGAACTTTGGGTCCCAGAGTTGGCCTTTAACATCCTTGACCTCTGTAAGTGTTGTGGTGTGATATGGGCTGAAATGGCAGCCAGATGGGACTGAGGATTCCTTACTTCTGATTTCCATTGTCAGAGCTGCCTGGACTTCCTGGGTGACATAAGCTGAGTTCCTTGGCAAGGCTGGCCTCGGTTTCTCTCAGATGAGAAGGTGAAGATCTGAGGTAAGTCAATATCTGTGAGGAGTAAGATGGGGCAGATTAAAAATGGGCATTGGTGGGGAGAAAGCTAGAAAGCACAAAATTAGAGTTGGCACATGAGAGAAAGAGATTAAACAGAAAAAGAAAAATCACCAGCAGTTTTGGATTTGCCCAGCCGGAGTTTCTCCGCTGGGCAAGGAAAGCTTAAGTAATCCAAATTAATTTCTAGTTAAAGGCAGAGCTCAGAGAGCAATCAAACAGGTGACCACAGCTGGCACCAAATTTCACTGGGAGATAAACCACTAATGCTAAAAATAAGCCATCTATGCCGAGGAAAGCACTGCTTGAAGTCATTCAACCTGGGTGTGGGGTTAGAATACTTTAATCATTCATTCAACATCCTTATACCTAGTAGCAGCTTTGTGCTAGGCACTGGGCTTCCAGTCCAAGTCAGAGATGTGGTCCTTGTCTTCACGTTGCTCACAGTCTGGTGTGTGCATACAAGTAGGGAGGTGTACAGAGGAATTGGATAATACCCAGGAGGGTGATGAAGAAAGCAATGGCTGGGAGTGAAAAAGGACACTGCAGAATCCGACCCTTTGCCTGAGCCTGAGGGGCATACTGAAGTTATCAGACTAAAAGAGAGTGGAGAAAAAGGCTTTGAGGGCAGCTGGAATAGCAGCTGGAATGACTCATTGTCAAAAATGAGCTTGCATGTGCTCTAGGGAAATGCCAGCTGTCCTTTAGGGCTGTAGCATTGGGCAAAAGCCCTAGGTGAGACCCCTGGCACAGGGTGGGGTCAAAGAAGGCTGAGGAGTTTGAATTATATTGTTTAAGATAATGGGGAATCACTGGAGGATTCCAAGCTGGAGAGTGACATGGTCAGACTTCAGTTCAGGGAAGACTGCTCAGATAGCACTGAAGGGAACATATTGGGACCCCAGCTGGAGGAAGTAAGATCCTCCATCAGACTCCACTGCCATCTAAGTAAAGGGGTTGTGACTTGAACTCAGGCTCTGTCTGGAAGAATGTAGCAAAGGAGATGGATTTGGAAGAGAAGTGATGGAATCTGAGACTTGGTGATTGAGTGGCTACTTCAATGTGATGTGTCAAAAGAGCCAAACATGGTGACCAGGTGTTCCCATCCTGAGAGATGGAGGGTAAAGGAAGAAGAGAGATCTTGGGAGGTATGGAGAGGATAAATTGCCGACCTATTGGGTTTGAGGTGCCTGTAGAACATCCAGGGGTCAGGCAGGTTGGAGCCTCTCCCCTTTTTCTGTCTTATTAACTCCCATCTTAGTAATTGGGGGAGCACTTAGTCCTGCCTAAGACTCCCATTTGGGCTATGCCCACTCCCATGCTCAGCAGTAGCCCTCTTACTGGGTGTAGAAAGTGATCTAGATAGTGATCTTTAAAGACATTTGATTTCATGCTATAAGGGGGTGGCCTTTGATGGCTATTTTCCAGGGCTGCCCTTGGAGGATACACAGGGCAGCACTTCTCAAAGTGTGTTTCTCAGAGCTCTCCACATCTGCGCCCAGAATGTTCTATGGAGGACTGAGAACAAAGAAGGGTGGGAGTGGAGGGGAGAGGGGGAGGCAAAGGGGATGCTCAGGGCACCCCCCTACTAAGGCTCTTTCAAGAAATTATTTTAAAGAAAAAACACTCATGGATAAATGTATGACCTGTTCTCCAGAGATCATCTCCTGGTGAGGAGGCTAGTGTGCAACTTGGGAGGCAGTGGGCTGGAAAAGAAAGGTCAAGTCAGGAAGTGTCCTGAAGAATGAGAGTTAAGGAGTTTAAAGCAGCTCTAACTAGCAGCCTGAGGATATTTAGTCTATGTGCAGTCCTTGGAGGGGTGGGAGAGGAATGGATTATGAGGCTGTGTAGATTCCTTGCAATTTGGTAGATGAGAAAGTGTGCGAGACATAAAGATAAGAGGGTTGCAGACAGAGGGAAAAACAAGATGGAGTGATGCCATAGCAATGCAGAAGGATACAGATAGACATGTTGGGAGGCAAAACTATTAGGGCAGAAGAGAGATGGTAATTAGAGCAATGGCAGGGGGTGAATTTGAGGGAATTTAGGAAGTAAGTAGGTACAATAATGAGTGGATTGGTGGTGAGTGAGAAGAGAGCAGTAAATTATGTGTCCTTGGTTTGTGATTTCTGCAACTGAACCAAGTGGTGGCATTCTCTGAGATGCACACCCATGGAGAAGTGTGTACAAGGACAGACCACAAGTCCATTCCTTCCAAGTTCCAGGTAACTTCAAGAACCTAAGAGTTGTTGACAAATAGACAATTGGATACAAAGGGGTAGAGCCCAAATAATTCTATACTCCTTAAAAAGAATGTTTGTTAGCAATCCATTGGTCTGATGGCTGGCTACATACTGGACACTTCGTATTTTCCCATCCAAACAATTTCATTCTCAATTCTTCCATTGATTCATTAATTCAATGAATATTTATTAGCTAACGATGATTGTGCAGGTGCTCTGCCAGGTGCTGGTTATTCAGTGGTGAATAAACAGATGCTATTTCTTTACTCAAGGAACCAGGATGGTGAGTTTTACAGTAAATGTGAACCTGATTTTGTTCTTTTGTTTCTACTTTGTTGCAGTACGGGAGTTATTAAAGGTGGTGTCTTAGTCACTTTCCCATGATGGGAATAAAATACTCAACACTCACAACTTAAAACAGAAGAGATTTGTTTTGTTTCATAGTTTTAGTCCATGGTCTGGCAGTTGACTCCAAGACAGAAACAAGATGGCAAAGGGGTGTGGTGGTGGAAAAGATGCTCACCCCATGGCAGCCAGGAAGCAGATAGCAAAGATAAGAGCCAGGGAGGGAGAGATACCCTGCTAGGTCCCACACAGTGACCTGCCTCTTTCAACCAGGCCCCACTGCCCAACAGTACATTCAACTCTGAATTGTTCAGTGGATTAATCCACTGATAAGTATAATGCTTCCATGATCCAACCCATTTCCTAAAGCCCCACCTCCAAATACCTGAGCCCTTTATGGACCATTCCAGATCTAAACCTTAACAGTGGGTTAGGTCTTTTCTATAGTTCCCCTTCCCCTTAGATTATAGCTAACAATTTAGAATAGATTTACTTATGCTTTCAGACTTCACAGCTCCCTTTAGACAAGAATTTCAAAACTGTCTGCCAGTACTACTTTGATAGTGATCTACTTAGTATATTTATCTTTAGACTTTGAGTTTGAAACTCTGAATGCCCTGAGATGGGGAATCAGACCTTGAAACACCTTCTTGCTTAAAGTATTAGAGCCAACCTCTTAGGCCTTGAATGAAGCATTTCAAACACTGTGAAATGTATCCTTTTTCAATACTCATAGCCAGAAGAAAGTAAATTAATCATGAACATTGATTTGCTCATCTGTCTCCTTCTCTGGATTTTAAATATCTCGAGGGAGGGACCTTTTATCCAACCTTGGATATTTGGTTTCTAGTACATTCATGGCCCCAAATAGACAATTAATGAACATACATACATTGAATGAATAAGTGAACATGGGCATCTTTTGATAATTGTATTTTTCTTGAATTTTTGATGTACATATTTAAGTTTATTTGCTTTTTCCTTATCTCCTCCACTATAAATTAAGTTGCTATAGGCAAGACTTTGGTTATTCAGTGATTCTGGGCTCAGAGTGGCTGCTCAGGGCTTATGTGTTAGGCGATTGCTTAGAATTAGAAATATAGTGGACCCTAGAGATACAACTGACCTGACATATGAACAACTTGGGCTATGACTGGAATTTTAGTTTTAACTTATGACCAAAGTCTTAAGTTATGACCTGAATGCTGGTTACTTGTGTTTCCAAATGGTCTTAGATTCAGATTTAACCCTTAAAGTATCCTGGAAGGAACACGACAACATCATTTCCTTTGTGGGGTTAATTGAGAAATCCTGGGCCAGTGTCTCTCTAAGGACACTGAGATCTGCTTCTATACAGGAGAGAGACTTTGAAGGCTGTGTAGAGGAACCTGAACCTTCAATTGACCAACTGGAGTCACAACCAGCCCTTGCAAACAAATTGAATTTGTAAGTCAGGGGTCCACTGTAGTTCAGTCCCCTAAACACTTGCCTTCACCTATGAGAACACTATCAGTAAATTACCCCCATTTCTTGAATTTTTACCATGTCTACATACTTTTTTCAAATTTTGGATGGAAGTGGACCATGATGTAGGGAACCTTAGAAAAACTCTCTCTAGCTGTCATGTCTAAGCACTTTCTCAGAGTCTCCTCCCAACATTCTAGGAGGCAAGTAGTAATATCATTCTTATTTTACAGTACAAGGTAACCAAAGTACAAAGTTTACCAAGTTGAGATTTGAATAAAGATGATCCTAACTCCAAAACCCATGTTCTAAGAGATTCTACAAGGTCAAGGACTATCACAGTCACCCAGGAACCTGGGACAATTCTGGACTGCATTGCAGATGGCTTTATGATTTCGAGTGTGGTCCAGGGCCCAATAGTCTGTGTTTTAGCAAATCCCCAAGGGGCTTCGAATGCAGGTGGTACTCTTGACCATTGTGCCATCATTGAGATGGGAAAGTGATGCCCAGAGATGTTGTATCTCAAGGCCATACACCTTCCACTGACCTTTGGAGAACAAGGGATATTAATAAGTGAACATAGGAACATTTTCCACTCTGTTTCTAGAAATCTATAAACCTGGAACCACACAAATTACATTGAAAGGCCCTCAAATAGAGGTTGTGACATGAGTCCCTTCTGCAAAGTTGAGTCACTACAAGGCACCTGACAAAAGTTCCAGTCGCCCTACATCAGCCAATAAAAGAGATTCCTTTCCTGTCCACGCTACCATCTTAGAAATAAAATAAATGGGACTGAAAGAGGGACAAGTGAAGAGAGTCCATGCCTACCCCACCCACAGTGGGAGTGGAGGCTGAGTATACATACATGCTCTACAGTGTATTTTACAAAATACAGATAAGAATATCTCAAAACACCGAGTCAATCTTGAATAGAAGGAGCCTATTAACACAGTCTGAAGTTTTCAAGGGCATGGAGGGGAAAGAAGTTGGCATCCAGCATTCCCCTCATCCAGCAATGAGCAATTCTCCCTGGGAAAGCCAGTGGGAAGTTCTGGCTCAAATCCTGACTCACCAAGTGGGAATAAATATTTACTGAGAGCCAGGCAACCTCACCAAATTTCTTCCTGACCCTTTGGCCCTGCTACCCTCTTTTTATAGTTGATCACTATAGCATTCAGCAGACAGGGCCTCTGCATTTAAAAAGATGAGATGGAGGGAGTCAGGGGACCTGGTAGAACATTTTAGCTGATATGAAAAGTGCAAAACTGAAAAGCTTTAGAGCCTGAAATTGAGTAACTGCTGAGACTTGCCTCCGAGTCTTTGATTTGCCATTGGCATATTTATAGGAGACCCTGGACTGTTCAAGGATGTGCAGCTGGGCCACCTGCCAAGGAATCCCTGGCTTGGTTCCTTGCGGAGCATGCCAAGCTTTTGCTGCCCTAAGTTTGTAGCCTTGAAGCCAGGGGACATTCAGAGGTCCCAAGGTACTCCTGGGAAAATAATGTCAAAAATATTAACAGCTAATACTTAGGAAGGCACTGTGCTAAGTGTGTTATGTTATCTTCACAGCAATCCCGCGTAAGGCATTTTGTGGAATCCTACCATGATTAAACTCAACACCTCTGGGAAGAGGAGGGCATGAGACTGAGCCTTGACTTACCCACTATGAAAGAACTTGACTAGCTCTTAACCACTGCAAACTTCAATTTCGTCACCTGGAAAATGAAAGCAAATTTATCTGTCTCATAGGGTTGTTTGGATTTTCCTAGATAAAGCGTATGGCCAATATCTAGCATATCATGCAGTGCTCGGGCAATATTAGTGTTGTTATCTCCAGTTTACAAATGCAGACTGGGAGGCCTCAGCAGAGTAAGTGGCATGTTCAGAGTCACCTAGGTGGGAAGCATAGGAACCACAGCTCAAGGTCAAGTGTGATTGACAGCAGTGTCCTTGCTCTTAATCACAGGCATCCTGCCAGAAGTGGACAATTTCCTCAGGAAGCCTTGCTCAGCTGGGATGATAGGGACAGGTTGGGTCCTCAGTCTTCCTTAAGAAGCAGAAACTTCTAGGCTGGAAGTGTAGAGGAGAGGACCCTGGGACAGCCAAGTCATGCAGAATTATGGCTGGCATCAAGGACATGTGTCTTTGGTGTTGTTTGTTGCTCTGGGTGGTGAGGTACCCAAAGAGGCCACCTCATCAGTGCATTGCTTTAATCTTGACTCGCCCTGTCGTCAGTCCTTAGAAGGATGTCGGAAAGGACTGGACTTACTGTGTCACTCCATAGGATGCAGCCTGTCCAGTTACAGGTGGAATAGTCTATGCTGCAAGGATGTCCTTTCCCTCTGTCCACCAGTTCACCCTCTTTCTTATCTCCCTCTCTCTCTTTCTCTGCCTGGCTCTCACTCTTGCTCTGTCTCAGACATCTAATGGAAAGAACTAGTTGCAGTCTAGTATATTTTGTAAAATATATTTTGATTTTTAATTGATTATAGTAATTATCCATATTTATAGGGTACAGTGTGACATTATAATACATGTATACAAGATGTATTAATCAGGCCAGAGTAATTGGTGTACCTATTATCTGAGACATTTGTCCATTCTTTGCTTTAGGAACATTCAAGATCCTCTCTAATAGCTATTTTAAATTATTCAATTAATTATTGTCAACTTAATTAATCTATTGTGCTATAGAACACAAAAAGTTATTAGTCCTATACAGCTGCACCCAGTAAGCATACTGTCTCCCACATCTTTTCCAGGCTCTGGTATCCACTGTTCTTTACTTCTATGAGATCAACTTTTTAGCTTCTACTAATGAATTGGAACATGCATTATTTATCTTTCCATGTCTGACTTATTCCATTTAACCTGATGTCCTCTAGTTCCATCTGTGTTGCTCCAAATGTCCAAATTTCCTTTTTTGACTGGGTAATATTTCATTTTGTATATATGCCACATTTTCTTTATCTCCTTATCCATCACCATCAACTTAGGTTTAGTTCATTTGTTGGCTGCTGTGAATAGACCCATAGTAAACAACACAGGACAGGTTATCTCTTCCACACTCTGTTTTCAGTTACTTTGAATATATAGCAACGGGTGGGATTCCTGGATCATATGGTAATTCTATTTCTAGTTTTCTGAGGAAGCCCTATACTGTTTTCCATAATGGTTGTACTTACTTATTTTCCAACCAACAATATATGAGAGTTTCCCTTTCTCTACATCCTCTCCAGCATATTATTTTTGTCTTTTTTATATTAACCATACCAGTGAGGGTGAGATGATATTTCATTGAGGTTTTGTTTTCTATTTCCCTGATGACTAGTGATATTGAGCATTTTTTCAGATACTTGTTGACAAGTTGTTTATCCCCTTTTGATAAATGTCTATTTATCTCATCGCCCATGTTTTGGTTGTATTACTTGGAGTTTTGCTGCTGAGTTGTTTGGGTTCCTTATAATTCTGGAGCTTGCTGTGTTTGATGTCACATTTTGGAGCAGCAGATTGGAACTTGATCTGTGTTTCTCAGATTATGAGAGATGAAAGAATAGAATATTTTTCTTTTACAATTTGTGGCTGAATGATATTTTTATAAAATATCTGTTTATGTGTTGCAGAATATTTTAATAAAATATACATTTCATTAAAATATATTCCTTAGGATATATCTCCTAGAAAATAAAATTTTAAAAAATACAAATTCCTTTTTTATTATCAGGATAAACACATAAAATTATTCTGTCAAATTTTTGTAAAAGTTTCAAGAGGAAAACTCTCAAGTTCTGCACTTATCTCTCTGTGGACAGGTAATAAGTCATGTGTAGATGGGCCCTGACACTTTGAATAGCCTGGTCTACAAGACCTGGCAGGAGTGTGTGGGCTCTTCAGCTGGAAGGGTACAAGGGCCCCATCCACAGGTGCAGGCCTGTCTCCCAGCCAGCAGTATCAGCGATGGACATGGCCCTTTCCACAGCGATCCTTGTCAACAGTGAGAGTGAGGGTGAGAGGCATGATGCAGAGGGTCTGTGGAAGAGCTACCTTTCCCTTACAGAATGTAGTCCACGCTGCTGGGTAGCTTCCATGTGTTCTCCTGCAGTCCCCAGGCCTGAGCTTGATAGACACTGGAAAGCTCCTATAATTAATTGCCTTCAAAGCTTAGGCTCTGGAAGAAGGACTTCAGTCAGCTTCTTATCTTTGTCTCTGATTGGCAGGCCCATGTGAGGCACACTGTGAGGGGAGGGTACTGGAAGAGGGAAGCTGTGGCCCACTCCATGCAAGCCTGTCTGTCATGGACCTGAGAAGCATGATATCATATCAGATCTTCTCTCCCCTTAACCTTGTCAGCCTGCCTTCCAGCTCAGACAGTGCCAGCCTTTGACAATAGGAAAAGAGGATGATGGGAAATTCTTCTCCTGACAACAGGGAATCTGTTATGGGATCCCAGAGAGAGGGGACAAGCTTCTGTAAGATCTAATGGCCAACACCTTGGATTGAACTTGCCTAAGAATGAGTCCCCACCCATCCACCCATCTTGCCCTTACTCAGGGCTGCATCAGCCCATGTATATGCTATTACCTTAATCAGTGTTAGAAATAGCTTCGACCTGATTTCTGAAAGATCTAACGTCAGGAAGTAGAGACCCTTGTGGCAATGGATGGGAAATATCTGCTTCCCTGGGGGCCCGTCAAGCACCTGCCATTTTGCCTGCATCTCCTCTTTCCCTCTCCTGTGTCAAAATTCTGGATCCACTTTGCTCAGCCCATTATTTGCCTGTGAAGTTGTTCCCAGCTCTGTGTATTTCTAGCACGACTGATGACTGACACGTCCCACTTCAATTAGCCAAATGCAGCTTATGACTCATTCCTGAGGTGCCACAGGTGGGGCCAGTCACAGCCCTATCATTACCATTTGGCATTCCAAAATACCTTAATCTTCCAGGAACAAAGGATGCATGTTCTACTGGGAGGAAGGAGCATTTCATTAGTCAAGTGTAGGATGTGACAGTGTTTTCTTTGTGGTCAGGCCAATGCTGGCAGGGAGGTGGGACCAGCAAGGGAAAAGTGACAAGGCTCTTCTCAGGGATAGAACAGCTGCCACCAGCCCCCATGTAGCTCAAGACAACATCCCTTGTGACTCTTTTCCCTGAAATCAAGAAATGACAAGGATCAGGCAGGTGGGAGTCAAAGGTCTTGAATGGGGATGGAAGATGAAGAGACATATTTCAAGACATTCAAAGCCAAAAAACAGTCAAGGCAATGGCTACAAGCAGTCATTTCAGCTGGAATCCTCCAGGCTCTGTCAGATAGCTCAATCTGCCAAATATGTTTATTCCCAAGGAGGCACAGTGCATGGCTCGAAGAGCATGGCTTACAGCAGGAAAGGATTGAGCTTCAAACTTCTCTCTGCATTAAAATACCTCTTACCAGCTCTTTCTCAGACAGCCCTATTTATTCATTACCAATGGCCTTGAGGTTTTAGCAAGACAGCAAGTCTCATGATCATTTTTGCTTTGTAGGCTAGGAAAAAAGTCTTCCTCTTATTCCACTAGCATCAAGTCAATTCACAGTTTGGGTATAACATTAAGTCAAGGGTTAACCATCCAGAAAAACCATCTCATAAAATCATCCCAAAGGGTGCAAATAACCAGGAGAAAGCTAGAGAGTAATAGCTGAGAGTTGGCTCCACAGATACCTTTTACAGGTAACTGGAAGGTGCTCTGTGGTGGCAATCCTAATGCAAAGTGATGGTGATGGAGTCCCTGGAAATGAGCAGAATGCCTCCTCACCTACCCATGGCTTCAGTCCATATCAGGGTGGCTCTATCCTCTCTACCCTCTCAGAAATCATTGCTAGAGAAATGGGAGGTGGATTTGGGGAGAGGAAGTCACTTGGTTTCACGTCGGGGGTTCCAAACCCACCTTCTCCTTCCTTTGTCCAATGGAGGGGACATACCCACCAATTGTCTGGCCTTGTTTCCTTTTCCCCTCTCTATCCCTAGTCAGGCCTCACTTGGGAGAAGCCACACCAGGAAATAGCCAGTCTTGCTTGAGGCCTTCTCATATGGCACACTGGGGGGAATTCTGGGATTTTGCTCAGCCCAGAAAGATCCAATGGTCAAGAAAAATCACATTAAAACTTTACACAGTGAAAAATAGTGGACCCTAGACAATTAGATAAAAACCTGCAACACTCAGAGGGCTGCAAGATCCAAGGGAAAGAAGGTAAGATTGTAGACAGAAGAAATGCAGTTGGCCCTCTGTATTTTGGGGTTCCACATCCACAGATTCAGTGAACCACAGATTGAAAGTATCCAGACAAAACAATTGCATCTGTACTGAACATTTACAGGCTTTATTGTCCTTGTAATTATTTCCTAAACAATACAGTAGAACAGCTATTTACATTGTATTTACATTGTGTTATGTATTGTAAGTAATCTAGAGATGATTTGAAATATAAAGGAGAATGTGTGTATGGATTATATCCTAATACTGTGCCATTTTATACAAGTGTCTCGAGCATCTATAGCTTGTGGTACTGGGAGGATCTTGGAATCAATCCTCCTATACTGAGGGCCAATTGTATTTCTTCTTCCCTCCCTGCCCCTTTTTTGTCCCCTGTGCTTCTTCTGTTTCCTGGTCCCAATTGCTCTAATCTTTGTTTGCATTCTTTTATAAATGAACTGGGGGTAGAGATGATCACAGGTACCCCAGCCTCAGAGAAAGCCCCCCAGGATGAGTTCACAGGAGGGGTCCTCTGAATTAGGGGACTTCTTAAGTTGTTCTTTACACAAAGATGATGAGGACAGTGACACTTTATTGGGAATTTTGTAGGAGACTATTTTCTACCCCTACTTTCTGACTGTCCAGATAAAAACAATAAAAGTTTCATCTTTAAGCTATAATTAACCTGGATATCAAGGGAAGTCACATTATTGATGTCCCCTTCTGTTTGTCTTGTTTTAAGGAAAATTTGGCAAATATACAAAAGTCCAAATAAAAAACCAAAAATCTCCTATAACCCCATGAGTCAGAAATAACTATAGTTAACATTGGGTGGGAATTGTTTCATTCTCTTTTCCTCCGCAAATATATTTTTTCAGCAGAAGTGGATATCAAATAGCAATATAACCTGCTTCTTGCTTTTAATAATATCCATAAACATTTCCCAGTGTCATTAGTTTTCTACAACATCCTTTTTATGTTTGCAATGAATTTCATTGTATAGTTATAGCATAATTTATTTAATAATAGCAAATATGTATAAAGAGCTTCCTATGGGCTATACTTTACATGCATCATCTAATTTATTTCTCACCAATTTCTATACGGTAAAGACTTGTTATCCACTTTTTATAGATAAGAAAACAGGTTTGGAGGCAATATTTTGCTCAAAGACACATAGGGCTATAGTAGAAGAGCTGGAGTTTGAACCCAATTCCCCTGTTTCTGGCTCTAGAGTTTATGAGCTACTATGCTGATTACTGCCAAGCACCGGTTGCTGACATTTAGGCTGTTTCCAATTTTTAAATATTACAGAGCTGTAAAAAAACATCTTTAGAGCTATATATTTAGCACACTCCATTGTTATTTTCAAGGATAAATCCCAAGAACTGAAGCCATGAGGTCAAAGCAAATGCATGTTTTTGTGGGGTTTGAGGATTTGTTTGGTGGCGGAAGCAGACAGGATGGAACCAATCCAAGGGTCTGTAGGAGAGCAGCCCCTACTATACCACTCCCCTTCTTCACACACCCACTCTTCCTGCTCACCCACAAGATTGCATTTTTACCACCAATCTTAAGAGTGACTCTTTCTTGGCATTATTATTAACATCAAGAATTCAGTTTAAAAATAATCACTGTATACTTAGGCGGAAAAGGGAATTATTTGTAAATTTTAAATTGCTAATAGAGCAAAACAAACATTTTGGGTTTGTGGGAAAATTTTCAAATTTGTATTTTTTTCTTTGTTGACTTTCCTGTCCCTGTCCTTTGAAATGGGGCATGGTTTTAATATCTAGGAGCTCTCTTACCATTTGTGTGTTCTGATTCCCATCCCTTTCCAGGAATGGATGGACAGATGGTTGATTAGATTGGTTAATGAAAGAATTAACATTTCCTGTAATATCCCTTGAGTCATCTTTAACAAAGAAACTGATCATAGCTCTCCTTTCTCTCCTATTGACCACGGAAGACTCCTCTTAAATGAATCTCCATTTTTATTTACTCTGGAATTTAATCCTTGTTAAATTTGGTCTACACTGAGGGTCTATCTTGGAAATTATCCTAGAAGTGGCAGACACAGAATCTAACTACACATTCTTGAGTTTCTAGGATAATACTAGCTATCATTTATTGAGCACTTACCAAATACATGTTGTTTTTATTCTCATACCAATCATACATGGTTAAACATCCTTATCCTTGCCCTTCAAATGAATAGGGTGAGGCTCAGTGAGGTTAAGTAACTTTATCACACAGCTAGTAAGTGGCAAAGGAGTATCTTGTATATCATTTTGTACTATCCATCCAAGTAAATTATTAAAGGGCTTAAGAATTTGAGTTTTTCATTTGTTTGTTTGTTTGTTTTTAGTATTGGGGATCCAA